TGAAGCTGTGAGGGGGGGCTTCAGGATAGGATTAGTGCCATACAAGAGAGTTTTCTCCCTCCTGCATGCTGTCTCTCTGTCATATGAAGCAGCTATCTGCACGTCACGAAGTAAGGCCTCACCAGAACCCAACCATGCTGACATGTGATTGCAGATGTCCAGCCTCCAGAACTGTGAGAAAACACATGTTTGTTGCTTAAGTCTCCCAGTCTAAGGATTTTGTTATGGAAGCCCAAGCTGACTAACACATCATTTCTATTATGATTTTCTTTTTACACAAAGAAACTAGGGGATAGAGACCAAGATATTCACAGTAGTGACTGGAACAATTAAAAGTCAAATCCAGTAGGCTGCATCCAATCTGATTCACTCATTCTTCACAATTCTGTAAGGTACAGAGAGCACACATTGCTTTCCTACTTTTACAAATGAAAAAAACTGATGATCTGACAGATTAGGTTGCATAGCCAGGGGGGAAAAAAAACACTAACTCCTTGACTCCTTGACTCCAGGAGCCACAGAACCATGATTTCATTGACGACAACTAGTCATTTTCTAAATTGAGATTGCATGATTGTCATGGGATCAGAGCCCATGAGTACTGAGTGTAGCCACTATACTATCCCAAAAGGGCAGGAGTTTTTGTGTCTTTGTTGTACACCAAAAACCTGGAATAATATCATATGTGAAGAAAATACTCAATAATTTGCTGGATGTTAGATGAATAGATCAAAACATTGCTTGAAACCTCAAAGTCAAAGCAGTACTGAGTGGAAGAATCTTTTCTTCCTAGACACAAATTTAATTATTAATCCATTCATTATTTTATTAATTGTTCATTTAATAATTACCTAGAGTTGACTGTGGACCAAACACAATTTTGTTTGCTATCTGACCTCTGCTTTTCCAAACTGTGTTCCTTGAGACTAATCATTTTTGTGCCTTGTCACTGACCAATGGCACCTGAGGCGCATCTTAAGTGGAAAACATGTCTTTAAGCAAGGGGAAAGAAAGAGAAAGTATAGATCTGGGAGAGGAGAAAATTTATGCCATTAATCAAAGCATGGTTTAAAAAAAAAATAGAAGCAATCAATAATGAAAGTTCATTTCTTCATGTACTTTCCCATTTTTTTTGTCTAATTGATTTTATAATTCTCTGTCTACTTTTTTTTTATATGAATGTGTATTGTCATTAGGAAACTGGAAATATGGTAAAAAATTAGACTGCAATAATTCATCTTATCAAAACGTGTATTAACTTTATTCCAGTTCCATACTCAAAATCTGGAAGGTAGCCGGGCATGGTGGTGTCTGCCTGTAATTCCAGTGCCTTGGGAGGCTGAGGCAGGAGGATCATGAGTTCAAAGCCAGCCTCAGCGAAAATCAAGGCACTAAGCAACTCAGTGAGACCCTGTCTCTAAATAAAATACATAAAAGGCTGGAGATGTGACTCAATGGTTCAGTGCCCCTGAGTTCAATCCCCAGTACCAAAAAAAAAAAAAAAATCTGGAAGGTAAAGAATTTTCCCCAAATCACTGTTAATACCCTCTCTCCTAGACACTCTTGCTCTGAAGAGGCAGTTCCCAAGCCTAATTTGTTTGCTTTTATCCAAGCAGATGTGGTTGTTTGAGCCCCACAGTGTGGACCATCACTTAATTAGAAAGTGAGATTTTGTACTTTTATTTTATTTCACCTAATAAAGCGATGCTTATAGATGGGCTGTTTTGCCTTTTGCATTATGTAGATGTCTTAGCATTGTACCACCCACGGTGCCTCAACTCCTGTCATGCACAGATGCTCAGAAATTAAACATCGCCATCTATAGAGAAGTAATTAGCCAGCATCAGGTTGCATTGCAATCACTTTGCTGCACTCTGATTCACCCTTAAGTTGTTGTCTTCTCTGTACATCACGAACTAAACAAAGCTGGGTTCTTCACATTTTGATGCCTTTTCCCCCTTTGCTTGTTCTTTGGGACAATACTTTTAAAAAGAAACAGGCACTTTAGGGAGCAACCACATTTTCAATAACAGATGAAATAAAAACAGCAGCAAATCATATACGCAGTTGATTTCCATGGCCAGGGTGTTTCTGGCCTGTTTAAATTATTAACTAGTGCTGTCTGCAGAATGAAGCAGGATCTTTGAGACAAAGATCTGAAACTCTGAAGCTATATGCCAGTCTATTCTAACAAATAAATAGCCAATCTTTTTTTCTAAGCAAAAAGATTCCAAAATCTGTCTCTACAAAAGCTTTCCCTTGACTGAGAAGCACCTTTATCAGAACAGGTACATAAAGTCCTAAGTCAGGCCACCTGGATACTGAGCAAGTAAGTTGAGTTCTAGGAGTAAAACTAATAATAAAAGCAAACATTTGTATAGAACTACATTTCTCTCTGAAGACACTGAGAGACAAACATTAAGTAATCTGTCTGCCTAGGAACATGTGACCAATCAGGGTAAGAGCTGGGACTTGAACCTGGGTGTTCAAATCTACACTCTTAACAGATACACTAAGCTGTTGCATGTGGAAATCAAAATCTCAGTCACACAGGCAAAAGAGCTATTAAAATAAAACTCCTTAGATTGAACCACATGAAAATGCCAATATTTGATGGTTTTGACATAATAAATCTGTAGTTTTATATTATCCAGGATTCCAAAATCTGTCTACAAAAGCCTTCCCTTGACTGAAAATCACCTTTTTCAGTAACTAAAGTAAGTAAGTAAGCACAAATTTACAAAGCCTCCGCTCTGGGTCAGGTTTGTGTTCTGGAATGTGGCTATAGTCAGTATGAACCGGGAGTAGAGAGAGAGAATCTGGAACTCTTATTGTCTTAAGTGCTATTGCTATTCTTGATTTGTCGGACCATCTCCATGAACCTTAGGCTCTTCATCTGTAGAATAAGTGGTTTTGAAACTTTTTAGACTGCAGTTCACTTAGGAAGGACAAAAAGTCCTTATGTTTTACTTAGTACCAAAACTCTCAAGTTCCAGTGGCAAACAAAAGTTCTATAAAAAATATGATCATAAAAGCAAATTGTAGGTGTGGGGAGAATTATGTTTGCATATGCTCTAGAAATATGGATACTGATGATTTTTCTTTGGATGCCCATAATGTTTTGACACCTAATTATCACAAAATATTAGTACGAAATACAGTCAATGAAATTTATGTATCATTAAGAGCTAACAGCCTGGCACAGCAACACAAACCTGTAATTCCAACAGCTCAGAAGGCTAAGGCAGGAGGATCATGAGTTCAAAGCCAGCCTTAACAAATTAGTGAAGCCCTAAGCAACTCAGAGAGACCCTGTCTCTAAATTAAAAAAAAAATATATTAAAAAGGACTGGGAATGTGGCTCAGTGGTTAAGCGCCCCTGGGTTCAGTACCCAGCACATAAAAAAGAAGAAATTATTCACAATAGAAAAAACAGTATAGTAAACGTAAACTAATATCATAATTTAAAACAAGAATAGTAGTATTTGACAACTATGATCAACTCAAGAAAACACTGAGGATGGAATTTATTAAAAAATATCTCACCACATAGCCAAGTGCTTATATAGCACCTAACCTTCTAATATAACATTAAAGTCCTCAATGAGCTCTAGTAGCACACTAGTTTGAATGTCAGATTAATAATTCTTAGTAAATCATTCAGTACTTACTTGTCAGTATCTCTTGGTTGCATTTAAAAATAAATACCTATGAAATTGTAAGTGATTTACCTTAAATGGCCAAAGAAAGGATTTAGGGTATGGTTTTGGTGTCCTCACCTTCTGTCCTGCCTTACCCTACTCCTCTCCAGATGGCCATTATGATTATCAAACTTCTCTTGGAAACACTTGTTCACAATATATATTGATATACACAATTAAACAAGTGACATAAAAAACTCATGAGATGATACTCTTAGGATGTGCATTACCCTGTGATATTTTCTTTCCTTTTTTAAGAAAAATACTGCGGTTGGGGTGTTGCTCAGTTGTAAGACATATGCTTAGCAAGTTTGAAGCCCTAGTTTCAATTCCCAGCACAATAAACAAATAAACAAACAAACAAAATATTTAACAGAAAGAACAGAGAGAAATATTGATCACAATATTGAAAATTGATATTGCAATCATCTTTGGGGTTGTAACTTACAATTTGAAAGAACCTGCTCTTAAAGGATTTTAAACCAGCCAGGTGTGGTGGCACATGCCTGTCCCAGAAACTCAGGAGGCTAAGGCAGGAGGATTACAAGTTAAAGGCCAATCTCAGCAACTTAGCAAGATTCTGCTTCAAAATAAAAAATAAAAAGGATTGGGGATATAGCTAAATGGTTAAACACCCCTGGGGTAAATCCCCAGTACCAAACAAACAAACAAACAAAAAGGGTATTGTCCCAATACTCCAGATAAAGAATTCACTATGACCTTCACAGATAGCCTAGGAGTTTCTTCTACCTTAGAAGCCTGAAGTGGTATCTTTCTTAGTCTAAAAACAAAGAAACAAACAAAAGCATGTTTTTAAGTTCTTCAGATGAGTGGTTTGACAGTTGTGGATTATAAGAAAGGGTGGCTGGGAATGGAGTAGTTAACTTGAAGAGTAAAAAGTGACAGTGTTTGGATGGAGAGTGGGAAGAAGCCAGGACATTAGGATAGTAAGTGGCAGTCCTCCAATATCTGAGCAGTTACCAAGGGAATCAGAGGGTAGGGGGACTAGGCATTTTTATCTATGGATTATAGGTATGATTATTCACTCACATTATAGTTTGAATATTGAGGTATCCCTCAAGTGTTAATGCAGGAATGTTCAGAGGCTAAATGATTGGATTTTGAGGGCTGTAACCTAACCAATCCATCCTAATTTGAATGGACTGACTGGGTGGTAGCTGTAGGCAGGTGGAGCTTGGGTGGAGGAGGTGGGTCACTAGGGGAGATGGGTCATTAAGGGCATGCTCTAGAAGGGCTTATCTTCTTTATGGCCTTCTCCTCCCCTTCCTACTGCCATGAGGTGAGCAGCTTTCCTCCACCATGATCTTTGGCCATGATGTTCTGCTTCATGTTGGACCCACAGTAATGGAGGCAATTGTCTGTGGACTGAGACCTCTGAAACTGTGGGCCAAAATATATGTTCCCTTCTCTAAGTTGTTCTTGTCAGGTAATTTGGTCACAGTGACAAAAATCTGACTAACATATTCATACAGACTCCTGATCACTTATGAGCACCAGCTACCTACCAGTTTCTGTGATAGAGACTACAAATAAAAAATAGCAAATACATTTGAGTAATATTTATATTTTTTAAAAAAAACTTGCTTTTCCAATGATATGACCGTTAAACATGCCTGATGGCTGATGCAAATCTAGAGAGAGATTATTCACAGTATTGAGATGATGGATTTTATTCAGTTCTATTGAGTGGCTTTATTAGTAACTTACAGAGCCTTTTGTTTCCCAGGGTGGCCATTTGAGTCCATTTCTAAATACGGTGTAAAAGTTCAGTAGAGTACAGAATGTAGTTCAGTCATGGAGCAGTATATAGCCTCAGAAAATGAGCTTCAAACTTCCTAACCCAGATAAAACTTGTCTTAATGTTGCCCTTCCATGTTCTTCTCATAGTTAAAAGCATGAAACTAAATCCTATTTGAACTTTATGGGAGCCTTTTTAGAATTACAGCTTTACACATTTTTTTCCTGAGGAAAAAAATCATTAAACTTTCCTTTCATTTTAGGTTATTCAATTTGCAGAGAGGCACACATGATAATGAATACATAAATCTTCTCAATTGTGATAACATCTGAGTAATGAATTCTTGGTTTTATAGTCTTTGGTCTCTCACCAATTTCTTTTAAACTCCAAAATAAATCCATTTGAAGGTCTGATCCCCATCATTTCATTATATGGAAAATTCGATGTTAGTTTTAGCTGAAGTTTGGTTTTGAGGTGATCTTTGAGTTTACTATCAGTAGATTAAAGTTTTAGAGAGATGTCTTTTGTTTCAACATAAAATTGAATCTCTACATTTAAGAGCTACCTTGTGGGTAATAAGCTCCAAACATGAGAGACATTCAAGCACACTCTGAGGTCGTGGGCCTGGCATCTGGTTGGAATGAGAGGAGAGACATTACACAAAATTACCCTTTGGCTTCCTACCAACCTTGGGATTGCATGTTTTGATTAAACCATGACTTCTCCAGTCCACAGATGGATTCTTTTCCTGAAAAGAGCTTCTTGCAATGTCTTCTGGGGTCAAATCCCAAAATGTAAAATGGCTTTCTCAATAAATGAACATGTTTTTAAAGTACCAATTAGATCTAAATTTGGTCTAAATCTGAATAACTTGCCATTGGTCTCTTCTTACAGTGCTGCTGCAGCCCAGCAACATCAAATTGTTAATAACAGTAATTACTAATATTATCAAAAAATAATAATATTGCAATATCATCAATAATTGCTCTTATGTAGCTAACATCTATTGACTATTGTTTGGCAAATTCTGGGTTAATGCTTTTGGACTAATGATAATCCTGTCAGGTGGTATGGCTCTTATTTTTTAACGGATAAGAAACCAGAGGTAGGGAGATTACGTAAGTCAGGAGGCCACAACCAGGATGTGAAGCCAGTGAGTACACCAACCCCAGAGAATAAAGTTATAGCCATTAGCCTGTATGAAATGACAATTATTTAGACGTTTCTGACTCTTGATATTTAGTCATCTGAATTATTTGGGACTATCACATGGTGGGGGGAGGAAGAACGTCTCCCAGAGGTTCTTAGTGGCAAGTGATTCCTATTATTAAAAAAACAGATGGACAAGAAGAAAACAAACAAAAATTAACACATATATTTCATATATACATGGGAGACACCTAATGAACAAGTAATTTTCAAGAGAGTAGCTTTGAACTCCAGGTTCTATAGCATCTTCACCAAAGAACAGTAAATTTGTAGACTTTGAGTCTCTTCAGGCACACAAAGCAATGTGGGGAAGACAAATAAGTATAGATAAAGGCTAGTTATTAGAGCTAGTTAATATACAACCTTCTGGTACCATCTCCAGGTGAATAGGGGTCCAAAGCTGCCATCTTTGGTCACTTTTATTCTCCATGGTAGAAAGAAGGGGGGAGGCAAAATATCTTTTGTCTACTGATATATATATATATCCTACTTTAGGCATACACAGGACAGAGAACTTTCTTGCATCAATTTCTTCCACTCAGCACACCTTCATATTCGGGGGTAACACATTCTGGTCCCCACAATCATATATACCATAGTTTAAGTATGTTACTAAATTTAAAATATTATTAAATTTCAACACTGGGAAGTGGTTAAGTAATTTATAGTACACATCAATTCAGTGAAGAATTGAACTTACATGAGCTATTAACACATGGTAAAATGTGTGCAGCTACAGCAAATGAAATAGTAAAGTGCAAAAATTTTAGATGTAGTGTGATCTCAACTTAGTTTTTAAAAAGTTTTGTAGAAAAATTCCTACAGTGGGGCATGATAGCACATACCTGTAATCCAGAAACTTGGGAGGCTGAGCAAGAGGACTGCCAGTTCCAGGTCAGCCTCAGCAAATTTAGGCCCTGTCTCAAAATAAAAAGGGCTGGGATATAGCTCATTGGCACCCCTGGCTTCAATCACCAGTACAAAAAGAAAGAAAAAAAAGGAAATAAAAGGAAAGGAAAATGGAAATTCCTAGAAGGAAATGATTAAAATCTTGGATAGTAATTGATCTTTAGTAGTAATGTTTATTAATTATTTTGTTCTATTTTTTAAGTCTTTCTGATCCCTCCCAGTAAACTCATAGTATTTCTACAATTGACAAGCATAGTTTTACTTTTTTTTTTGTTTTTCTATAAAGTAATTTAATTTTCTTGTTCAAGTTGCCTCATTTCTCACCTGATACCTGATATCTGATATATAAGATATCATGTGCTCTCTTCTTAAAAGAAGATAATTTGAATGCTCCTACATTCATTTAGCATAAAACGAATCTGTATACAAATGGGCAACTCAGCATCATGGCAAAACATGCAATTATGAAGGCACACAAAGGCTGACAATATAACCTTGCCTGAAATAAAGGATAAAGGCCTGGATGCACCCCACTGAATTGACTACTGCTGGCTTCCTGTTTATCAGGAGCCCTTAAAACTCTGATCCTATATTTTTCAGTTCACAGGAGTTGATGAAGACTGTTGGGTATAGTTTGGAGGACTTTATGTAAAATGATGTGATACATTGTGGCACCTTCTCCACAGGTGTACTGTCTCCAGACCCCAGAGTATAAATGCCTCATTTTAGGAGCTGAGGAAAAGTAGTAATCCCTATGAGGAGCTATAATTAACTTTTGTAGTCTTGGGGGTTTTGTTTTTTTTGTTTTTTTGTTTTTTTTCAGAATTGGCTTGTCCCACACAATTTATTATGGTTTAAAATGTGTGTGTGTGTGTGTGTGTGTGTGAACTTTACTTTTTGTTTTAATTCAAAAGTCCTTTGGATTTGAATGAAACATTTCCAAATTTAAACATTGTACTTAGAATCTTTTACAGAATAATTTATGATACTCTCCTTTAATGACAATGATTGTCAAATCATCAGGAGAATTTAAGTTTTCTAATTTGGCTTGTGAAGCAGTTGATTCACAAGAAAAATATGCTTTACAGACTTACACACATCTCTTCTGGGTGGAACTATTCCTGACCCCTTGTTGTCTAAAATAATTTATAAGAGATCTTCATAGATGAGTACTCCAGAAATTATCTACCTGGAAGTAACAGAGGTTTAAAATCTGTGTTTATTGCGTATGTTGTAGAAGGCAAGAAGAAACAAGCCAACCATATTCTACTGATCTTAATTTATTCCTGGACAGGGCAACTATAGTACTATTTTGCAAACATGGGCATAAGGGCTATGAAGTCCCTGTTCAGTTTTAAGTTAAAGTGTAAGAACCAGTGGGTTCTATGATCTGAACCCATTTCATGGAGGAGGACCCTGCAATTCAAATCTAAACTCAAGGAGCTGTTTTCATGACATTGCTGAAAGTAGGGTAGGACCTTGCCTCAGAGCCATTCATATGTGTTCAGGGGCTATGATGAGTCCTTCATGATTTTTTGAAACGAGGCCATAAGAAATGTTATCCTGGGTCCTACTAGTGGTACCTTGAGCCAAATAAGGTTCCAAAATATTACAGAGTACCTTGAAAAATGCTGGAATAAGCAGTACACAAGGGGTGCTATGGAAATAGTGAGGTGGTCATTCACTCAGGCCATGAAGTTCAGAAGTACTTCCAGAGCCAGCAGTGTTGGAAAGTATTTTAGAAGAATTAATGGAGTGAGTAGGCAAAGAAGAAAGAGCTGTCTATGCAAAAAGTCACCATCTTTCCCAAAGGAGGTTTAGGAGAGCAAAATTGTCAAGAGAGTTTTGCGCTTCCCCAATAATATGGGCTTGGTGCTGTAGTGGAAGGGAGGTCAGCAAAGAATTTTAACAAAGGAGAGACGAGATCAGATGTGCCTTTTTGGAAAAATTCCCTGGCTGCTGTTGTGGCAAATGCCTTGAAGAAAGGTGGCTTATGAAGGAGGTAACAATTTGGAGAGAGTCTGCATTCCTGCTGTGGCAGAGGCAACAAGTAGGAAAATACAGTCAGAGAAGCATTTTGGTAAAGTTTGGTGCCCGATTAACTGTGGAATTGAGGCTGAAGTTTCTAATTTAGATCTTTAGAACTGGGATACCATTAACCAAAGATGTTATGCTCTCTTAAAATCCATGAATTTGTCTGAAACCTTCTCAAATTTATAGTATGGCTTTAGCTATGTAATAGCTTTGTAGCATCTGATATTTGGATTAAATTTTTAACTTTACAGAGTATTTTCTTTTGCTCGAGCTCATTAAACACACAATTGGAAAGATAAGAATAAGTAATTTGCCTAAAATCACCAGCTGGATTTGGCCCAGGTGGGACTTGAAACAAATCTCTATACTCCGCAATCTTAGGCTTTAAATCAAATCACAAATCCAATAGTTTTATGCTTGATGCCTGATACTTCTTCTTTTTTTTTTTTTCTTTTTGGTAAGAAAGATAGAACTGGAAGGACTTTGGACTCAAAAAGGAAGCAGGGAGTTTTAGAAATGCCACAAATAAATCATGAGCACTTCTGAGAAGGTAGAAGCAGCCAGCAGGGGAACAAAGGAGAGCAAGGTGACATGGATAGTTCAGACCTTCTGGATGTCAGCGTTGGCACCACTCACAGTCCAAAGGCATGCAGTTTCCACTGAGATTCTCTCAGATCTCATCCATGCATACCATGTTAACCCTGGGTGCTGGAGATTGGAGTGTGGAGAGAAATCAGCTTATGGTGGCTCTGAATGACAATCACAGTGTCATGGCAGAAGAGGTATTTCCAAACAGTATTCAGGGGGTTCCCTGAGAGAAGGGGGATCTCCACTCATGACCAACAGAGTTCTGAGATTATGTGACTGAAAAGAAATTCAGCATGTGCCAATCAGAGGCTTAGAGGTCTATTTAGGAAAGTAGAAATATATTCAAGAAAGAATGAGGGCTGGGATTGTGGCTCAGTGGTAGAACACTTGTCTAGCATGTGCGAGGTACTGGGTTCGATTCTCAGCACTGCATATAAATAAGTAAATAAAATAAAGGTTCATGAACAACTAATAAAAATATAAGAAAGGAAGAAAGAAAGAGGGCAATCTCAAGAGGGAAATGCCTTGGGAGTAAAGCAAGGAACATGCATTCAAGGGAGGATGAGAGCCATCTCAAGAGTGAGAGACATGGTTTTAGGGTGCCCAGCTTTTTAAAAAAAAAAAAAAAAAGAAACTTGGTAGGGGTGGGTATGTGAAGGAATGTAAGAATGGTATCATTCTGGTGATCTCAAAATGGTTTATAAAGGTCTGGTCAGTCTTAGGATCCCCAGGCTGATATGGTTTTCATTACCTGATCCACAGATAGCACTATATTTTATTTCACCATTTAATCTGTTTATTGGGTGGTTGATTAACAGTGCACAGGTAGATTTACAGATTTCCCAGGAATTGGGATATAACAGACCTGAAAGAGAGACTGGTTTAGGGAGTTATAGACCTGGAAAAGTACGTGAAACTTCAGAATTAAAGTCTGATTTTCTTGTCCTTCTTTAATGTCACCTTTTAACTAATTTTGTTGTTGTTCCTTCCATCCCACCTCAACAGCTGTCCTTATGTAGGACAGTCTCCAGAACCCTAAGTCCCTCATCTGTTGATAGGGTCCTATATGGCTTGTTAATCAGCATCACCCTCAAAATCTGTCCCCAAGCAGTGTTAACCAGATGGATTTGTTGGTCATCTTGTGTAAGATACTCTCTGCAAAGGCTAGGAAAATGAAAATAATCCTGTTCAGTTTGAAAGTGGTAGTCACTGCTCCCATGTGGTTAACACAACACAGAATCTCAACCTCAATGGGCAGAGGAAATGGTAAGTCTTGGTTCCTGCAAACCTGAAGTTCTCTACTAAAAGTAGTAGATTCACTTTGCCATTGTGGGAGAGTCTTTTATCCATGTTGGTGACAAGAAAGAGACAAGACTTAGATGAGATAGACATCTGTGGTCAGGAAGATTTTTCATCTACAGGGGTCCTTGCTGTTGCTAGGAGCAGAAAGGGACAGTGGTTTCAAGATGCCTGAAGAGAAAGATTTTCTGATAAAACTGCTCATTGCACTATCATTAAGGCAGATCTGGAGTTTCCAATAACTGACTTGGCCTAGAGATCAACTACAACTTGAGGATATTTGACTTGGCAATAGTAACCAAATACCTAACAGAAAGAGAGAGCAAGCCAGATGATCTATAGATCCATAATTTAAAGGCCTCATCCTTCTGGGGGTTTGATTGATGATCTGCTTCCCTGCCTAGCTCAGGGACACAGGAGATTACAACATGCTTTCCTGTCATCTAGAACTATGATTAGCAGATTCAGTAACTGTAAAATAAATTAACTGAGTATTGCTTTGAAGGAAAAAAACATTATTTTTTACTTTTTTTTCTGAGTATTTTTGTGTGCTAAGGACATTCATGTGGAAAATTGCAATCCTATACCCATAGCATGGTTTACACAGACCTTGTGTAGTTTCACCACCCAGCCTAAAACCCTGGAGACCCACACAGCTTTCAGTCCCATCAAGGTCAGCCATTCACTCAAGACCAGTTAGAAATGTTAGTGACAATCCTATTCTATCCCTGAAAACCTCCTTAAAAATTCTTTAAATTTCCAAACAATTGAGCAAATTCATCCCCTCAGTTTTGTTTTCTTAATGATAATTTGTTTCTGATGAGTACATTTACAACTAATATCATCAAAAGCTTGGTCCTTATCCCTGATGCCAATCCAATAATGAGGACACAGTTTTGAGAAAACGATAAAAGAAGTGTTATTGCTTTGGTAGCAAAAGAGAAATACAGGGGACTCCTGTCCCAGAGTCTGTGACTCTGCCAATCCTGAGGAACAGGGATTTTTTTTTTTAAAAGAGGTGATTTAAAAGCTACATTCCATGTGTTCTGTCAGAGTTGTAATTCACTTATTAATTTGGAAAATTATCATTTCTGAGATCTTCTGATGCCATCCCCGAAGTCTGAATTATTCTGTTCATGAGGTAGGTGTGTGCTCAAGGACAGATAACTGCCTTGGATGGGGAAGAAAAGTAATCCTGTTTCCCCTGAAAATAGGGAAGGGGACAGATTAGAGAGGAGGAGGGAGAGAGGAACAGAAAGAAACATGTCCTTTTAACAATAAGTCTCAGTGGCAGAGCAACAAGGGCTATATTCAAAGTCTATTTTTAAAAATAAAACATTTATACCGAAATGACTTTTCTTCTCAAGCTAGTTTGGTTCACTACTTGAATTTTTCTTTTAAAAAATCATGTGATTTTTCTAACCCATACACTGTAAGTTTTATAAATGAAAAAACAGGGAGTGAGTGGTGGTTACCATGGTGACCACAATATCTGATTTGAGTAGCAACAGACAGGGCAGAGAAACAGTGCCATATTAAAAAGAATCACAACAAAGATCAATAGTTGAGAGGGGAAATTAAAATGTCTGGGCTCTTCTTATCAGGTGATCAATCAGTACATGAATAGCAATTCTGCACCTTGACTTCAGAAAATGCACATCCCATGCAGGTCAAAACAAGAATCTTTTAGCATACTTGGAAATTAATTTCAGGAAGGAATGAAAAACCATCCTGATTTCCAAATTTTAGATATTTATACTGAAATACCAAGAAAAATAATGAGCAACAAGCATTAGAATTCTAATGATTTAACTAGTTCAAAAAAATGAAGAGAGATTAATATCTCAGATTAAGGGAATCTAGTTGTTAAACCTGGTTTTGCCACACACAAAAAAAGGGAAATTAGTGAAGTTCTGCTTCCCCAAACCTTCCCTTTCTGATTAGTCTCACTACCTAAGGGTGGATTTAAGCAGGCATTTCCTGGCCTTGGAGAGCCAGCAGATTCCAGCCTCCCAGTCCACTACCTTGTGAATAACTTTGTTTACTCTCTTCTACATTTTAAAAGAGGATACCAGACTAACAGGTCAGTGTTGGAATTTCAAACACCAGCTAGCTGGGAGGTGGGATGATTTGGGTATCAAAAGTCCTGAGGATTCCCTTCACCAGGCTCCTCTGGCCAGCTTCCACCTCCTCTTGCCTCTTAAAGGCCTTTTTAACTGAGAAAGGAAGAACAGAGGTGAGTGAATAGTCAACATGGGCAAAGTGGTTTGTTACTGCTTTTAGAAGGGCAAATGGAGAAAGTAATTCCATTCCTGAAATTGGCCCTTTGTGTTGTTGCAAAGCATCTCAAACTAGCTCTGCCACTACACTAGATTGGGAAGGCGGCCCCACCTGCTTTACTCCTAAGGCTTTGGCTGCCACTCAAGAGCGTCAGGTGCTAGCCAGGCGGGGTTCATATGCCTGTACAGATCCACTAGGAGAGAGACAGAGCTGAATTTGGGGAGCAGCTGCCTGCTATGCTGAAAACCTCTGGAAACTGGCTGAGGCGCTGTGGTGAGATCCGTGCTGCTTTTTTTCAGATCCGTTTCTCTTGACACACCCTGAGGGGAGTTTTGGCCAAGAAAATGAAGAGTTTGGCAGATCCCTCCCTCTCCCTTTACTTCTTACAACAGCAGCGCCTGCCATTTCTCAGTGTTGGCTGCTTGCAGGCATCTTCTTTGGCTGCTGTTTTCATATCTGTTGCTAGCTATATTCTGGGGGAACAACAGTCAGTGAATATTTCTCCTCCTTCATCTCAGTGCAGCCCCCAAACCACACTCTTGTGAATTTAATTTACCACTGGCCTCTTCATAGTAAGTCTAATTCACATGAGCTGCTCAACTCTTGTTGTGTATCAGAGGGAGGGGGGCGGGGATATTCAGGACTGTGAAATTCTTGCAGCAGACTTAAATGGATTCCAGAAATTCCCGGATCCACATGGATTTCAGAACAGATATTTGATGTATGCAAGTCCTGCTCAAATAAGAGCCATAGCCTACTGGGTGAGAGCCTGTTTCTCATCCAGGAAGGCAAGCTTGCTTGTGTGAAAGAACCAGATGGACTTGAATGTTGAATCTTGCTTTCAGTAGTCATAAAGCTATGCAACCTTGGGAAATCACTGAATCGTATGTCTTCAGTTTTCTCATCTTAAAATAGGAATTACATTACCTACTTTGGGTAGATGTTTAAATGTTCATAGTTATATATGGAAAGCTAGATTCTAAGATCCTCCAGGGGGCATGATTACCGTGTTTGGGGCATATAGTTAAGTATTTATCTGAAAGGCCATTTATTAACAATCACAGCTTAGTAATTAAGAATGTCACCTCAGATAATTATGAGTCCAAATCTCAGTACTATGAAGGTTAGCTGAATAATGTAAGTCTGTTTCCACATCTGTAAAATGATAAAAGCATTTCATGAATTTGTGAGGATCAAAAAAATAATGTTTCATATGTAAAAACCCCTAGCACTGTACTTATCCCACAGTAATATTCAATAAAATTTGTCTCTTATTATGAAGCAGGGGTCTGGCTGGGGCTACTCAGTTGGCCTCCCTGAGTTAAATTTACCTCATTTTTTTTTTTAAATGAGAGATTGGACAAAATGAATCTGAAGGGGACTTCTGTTTCTTAATAGCTATGTTTTTATGTGCAACCACATGCATATCACATAGCTACATATCTCTTCCACAGTTTTTATTTATGGTTCCACAGATGGTAGGGGCCATGAATTTAAAAATCCAAACATGTTTTATTATGGAGAAACAACCATAGATAATATGGTTATAATACACATATTGGACTTGAAAAATCATAATCTTCCCATAAAGCCAGATGTGTATTTTATATACTCCCAACAAAGACTTTATTTCTTTAAGAACATATATAGTCACAGTCCCAGAGGCTGCTTTGCATTTCCATGGTTTGGGGGATATAGTAATTTGTATCTAAACACTTTGTACTGGTTTTAAGAAACTTCACTCACACAAATTTCCCAAGGGTGGAACTCATTAGCATTTCTAGTTTCTATATTATTTTTGAGAAGGAACCTTAACCTGTATCTCCACATTCTGGTGGTAATTAATATCCATCTGGCATTACAGCTAGCAACTAGTTGGCAACCAGTTTAAAAGCCAGCTTGGAGTCCCTCCTCACCTTGCCCCCAGGGTAAGAAAACACACTTGCAGGACTGCAGAGGTTTGAATTCACCTTAGATTTGCCCCTCAACCATGTTTATTCCCCCCATCCCCTTTAAGTCTATATGGGTGCTCTGAGCTAGGCTAGCACCCCCTTTAAAAAGAGCAATTAATCACAGGTTTTTTAGAATAAGTTTGTTGGTGTTAGAATACCATGAGGGCAGGGTCGGTGTCTTCAAAAATCCTTGGCACTTGAAATGTGGTGCTTGCTTTGCACAGTTGTTTGAGACCATGAAAATGACACTATAATAATAACCAGGAAGCAAACCTATAATTGTTTCATGACCTTTTCAGTTTTTGTCAAAGCATTATTTTTTTTGTTAATTGTAAATGTATAGGAAAATGTAAAAAAGAGATAAAATGAATATTTGCTTAGTACATCATTGCTTAAAATACTTAAAACAGGGGCTAGGAATATAGCTTAATTGGTAGAGTGCTTGCCTCTCTGCACAAGAACCCTGGGTTCAATCTCCAGCACTACAAAAAAAAAAAAAAACTTGAAACAGTGAGAATTGAAGTGTTTTGTTCTTCATTAACAAAAGCATTAAATAGTGTTTGCCTTTTTTTATTCTTATTGATCATATAACTTATGAAACTGAGCAAATGCCTTTCATATACACTGGGGAATTTGCCATACTCCTTACTAAGTTTGGATCAGCTTTCAATGTTGTATCATTTGCACTTTCAATGTTAAGACATGTCTACTAGAGTTCCTTTACTATGAAGGTTTTGGTAGTGTTATTTATTTCATCCCATTGATTATGACTTGTTACTTCACCCTTTCATTCCAACCACTTTTCTCATTCGTAAATTTTTCTTTATTAAGTTCCTTTGGTTGTATACCTGGGATTTTTCAAAGGGCAACAGTATCAACATTCCCCCAGGTAGTTCTGTCTTCTGGAATTCACTGTCTCATTCCAACGTCATGGACAGCATTATCACTTTTTGTTTCTTTGCTGTACTTTCAGCTTTGTTGATAAAGTCCTGTTTGAATTACCCATTTTAAAAAAATGGCATCTTGGTTTATCACTGGAGACAAAGAGGCAAAACACCTACCTGGTTTGCTGTCTGGGTGTAAACTGAATGACATGTTCAGGAACCAGTCCCATAGATCAGGAAGAATTGGCAAGGTGAGTCAGTGGTCATGATGCATATGTGTTGTTAGGTAATAATCTGTGAACCAAAGAGCTAATAGCAAGCTTGTGCTTAGTTAACATACGGTTATAGCTGAAATCTGAATTGTATTGTTGGGGAATTGGTGTTAGTTAATCAAAATGTGGTAATAGAAATTAATGCATATGGGAGTTAGGCAAATAAAAACAATCTTGTTGCTCAATAATAAATATCCATTGAATGAATAGACGAACTTGTACATTTCGTATTGATCTCCTCTGCCATCTCAGAGTCTATAACTTTACATACAACTATCCCCCAGTTTCTGCCTGTCCATATAAGATATCCAAAATATCTGGTTAAAGTATAACTATGTAAGTATGGCTTTGAATAAGTCATTGAACTCTGAGACTTTTGTTTCACGTGCCAGAGGCCCAGCTAATTTTTTCCCTATCAAGAGTTTTCCCTTTCCCAGTGCCTAGCTCTCTAACTCTAATAGAAATTAATCTGATCAACAGATTTACAAAAGTGCCCTAAGTTCTCTCAGGCACCCAGGTGAGACTGGGTTCTTCCTCTTCGAGAGAGGGATCAGCATTGGGCAGAGAAGTCTCCTTGAACACTGTCTTTTCCAGGGATATTCAGACCCACCGGGCCACAGGGGAGAGGCATCTTGAGTTAGACACACTTTCCTAACCCTCTCTCCTCACTATTCTAAAATAGGTAATTAAAAAAAAAAATCAGGGATGGCTGACTTAGGGACTCAAAGATAATCCTAAACTTAGGTTTTGACTTCAAGGAATTTACATTCCAGGATGAACAACAGATCCTTAAGAACATGGAAATAGTTATCCTGTAGTGGTCACCAGCAGTTTTGTGGGATGTGAGTTCAGGTTGGGATCATGCTGTGAGCTTTCCCAAGTTATTTAACAGTCTTTACGAGACTATGGGACTTCTGGAAACTTCTATCTCCTCTGTAGATTGTAATAATTATCCCCTAGGATTTCTCAGAGGTTTGAACAGATAAAGAATGTAGCACACTTAAAATAGTACCTTGTGTAGGATAAAAGCTTGGTAACAGAAAGGATTTTAGTTACTTACATATAATTCAGGTTAGATGCCATTCTTCTGCCTAAGATTGTCTAGCCCACAGTAGTATATAGAATTCTAGTTGCAGAGTCAAGAGAGTAATATGTAGACAGAGCTTATGGGGACAAACTCTCAATCCACTCTCCACTCTGACAGCAGAGTTATCCTGCTAAAATGAGAATTCCATCATCACCACCTCCATCTCCCAGCCACAGAGATCTGCTCCTTGCTTCCAGAGCATGGAATGTCTCCTAAGGATTCCATGAACCTAGCTTCCCTGCTGGCACATATTTCCTCCCATTTTGTATTAGTTATATTACCTACTCTCAAAAGTGACAAAATAGCTTTTTATTTAAAAAGTTAATATTTCTAGCTCCTGTGCTAATGATTTTTCAAATCTTTGCCAAATTCCTAATGACATTAGAAACCCAGTTCTAAGATCTGATTTGAGAAGATTCCTGTATCCCTGGCTGCCCAGGGCAAGGTGAGTGGTCCTTCCCACTGTGCCCCTAGAACACAATCAGACAATATATCAAATATACTTTGCTATTTGTGGTCTGTGTCTGTCCTTCCAAAACTATGCGCTACATTTGTTCTTAGAACCCCTTGAGGAGCATGGGCACCAGGGGGAGTAGGTTTGAAGGCAAATCCATCTTCACTTCCAAAGAAACACCTAGACACATTGGGTCAGCAGATCTAATAATGTCATTGTTTGTAAGTCATATGGGTTCAAAAAAGATATATTCCAAAGGCTCTGCCTTTCCACACAATAATGTAACAACACATCCAGCTCCTAAAGCGTTCCAAACCACAATCAGTAAGGTTGCCTAATGCTCTGTGGGCAGATCAGACCTCCCACCATAATGCCACATCATTGGGTTCACTCTATTATTGGAACAGGACTGGATTATATTGGATCATTCATTTGAAGGGTATTTTACCAAGGAAAGGCAGCCAAAGAGTGCCATGAGGGTTTGCTTGTGTATGGGGGTGTGGGCAAGCTTCCTCCACCCCACCCCACCCCGTGTTTTTACAGGCAGCAACCATAATCAGCTGTCATGATAGCTATAATCAATTAGCTTACGGGATGTTTTTCTCCATCTGCACTAATTGAACA